GCTAGCTTGCCCTAATATACAGGTTCTTTTAGCCATTGGAGAACAACTGCAATGGATTCTTCATAGTTTCTTCTGTAAATTCTCCAAAATCCACATGGTATTGGGGCTGGACCATGACCACTGACCGCTAATCCTTCTTTCATACAGTTTGGCTTTAGGATGAACACTGAGATTGACATTCACATGGATCACATTCAAAGCGTGAATTTTTTCCCTTCCTTTAAAGAAGCGTTATTGGCTGTCAAGAGGAGGAAAGTATGAAGAAGCTGAACCTGGGCACTCCTCATCACACCACAATTTCTGACTCATCAGCTATTTCTGCGAAAGGGGCTCAACTTGGTGGTTCCAAAACATGAAAACAAGCGAGGCTTTTGTGCAAATTGCCAAAAAACCAAGGCATACCAACGATGGAGAATATAAGTTACATGGAAAACCAGCCAACCTTAGGTGCAAGTATGAGAAACGCCCGACACCACCAACAGTATAAGAGAAGAAAGGGAAAGAAATCCCTCTCTAGAAATAAAACATAAAAGAACAAGTAATCAAATTAATTTCCATACCTCAAATACAGAATTATATAGTTCTTCTTCAATGTGTCTTTGGATAGTTGCTTCCCAGGAGATGGCACTTATCTCAGTATGCACATCACCATTGATAAATAAATCTATGTCTCCGTGTGACACAGTCTCCCCGGGGGGAAATCCTAAAAATGATTGGCATCCCAGAGGACCCTGTAACATCATGAAAAGTTGAAAACTCCATGACTAGGAATGCACATGTACATAGAAACAATGTTCATCAGTGCTATCATGCGTATGCTGAGCATCCAGAAATGGCGTGCAAACTAGATAATAGCATAGCGCTCAAATTTCACATGGTGAGCCAAAATAAAGCAATACATAACTAAGCATCAGTATGAGCATGTAACTGCACATATTTAAATATATGCAGAAAGACACTCAAATAAACAAAATTAGAAAAGGAGAGATCAGCAATGAAGCTGTCATAACACGACATCTTAGGCATAAAGTATCTTTAAAAAAAGCTACAGGTTACTTTGAACTAAATTAAGAGAGAGCATATGAAGGAATACAGTTATTCAAGGAGTAAAACAAAGCAGACCTGAACATAAAGTTGTATCAATCTTCGCACAGCCTTAGGAAACCAGCACGGAAGCATCTGCAGAAGTGAAGTATCACGTCCAGTAGAGAAGAAAATTTCATCACGCCAACTTAGATAGTTTGATAGAGCTACATAGCCAAATTGCAAATTAAGCTATTCATTAGGAAAAATATGAAGCAAAAAGGTTAGTTTAAGCAGCTCAACCAGTAATCAAGGCTAATTGCTAACCCGTCTTTGCTTTAGGGACCAAAGAACTCATTGTGCCTTCTCCAAGACATGCTCCTATTAGTGTGCGCCACAATGTGGGAAACCGCTGAAGAGTTGGCTTAAGATTCTCCAAGGTGCACTGGGCAGAGGAATTACTATGCCTATTTACACCACCACTATTCAAGCAACTTTGAATTGGAACAGAAGCATGCATCAGGGTTGCCAGAGCTGCCATTTCTCCCCCTCCTTCAGCAATGTCATCAACAGTACGAATTATTTCATCTAGCTCCAGAACACTGAGGTCACTTCTAGGAACAGAATGGCGTGACATTATTTCTCGAGCATTGGCAAGAGAGGCCTCATATTCATGTCCCTTAACCCTAGATAAGAGTAGCCATCTTGCCCATTGACAGTCAGCCTGTCAAAATGCAACATTATAAAACAAGCAAACAACAGGCATAAGCACAGAAGAAGAAATTTCATCACAACAAACAAATCTCTGCAAAACTTAGCACCTGTATACACAAATATCTACAATTTAGTTTGAACTTCTTCAATTACAATAATTCATTCCGGACCTATAAACAAATATCTGAAATTTTCAGAGTTACCATCTGATGAATATCTCAGAATATAACTTTAATTCGAAAAATGACTTCCAGCAAAGAAGACATTGATAATAAAAAAAAATTAATTATTTTCATTCATCAAATGCACAGCTCAGTTGTACAAAGTGTAAGGAGAATGTACAAATAAATAGACTGAATGGAGCAACGGAAAATAGCAGCATGCAGTTCCAGCTCCAAAATACGATTAAAAGTCAACAAATCCTAGGCACCATATGCCCAAACTTCAGAAATGTAGGGGAGTATCAGAGTGCTGCACTAACTCCGGAATTAATTGGGAGAGGATGTATTATTTTTTTTACCAAGATCTACCATTCAATTAATATTATGCATTTGGAAATTTATCCAGATTATGTTGTCTCCTAAATCATACCAGATCAGCATAATAAATCTCACAATTATTTCAAATCCCATGATCTAACAGATAACTACTTTCTATTCAATGTAATGCTAAATATTACATATAAAGATGTCAAGACCTTAAGTTGTACCAAGCAATAACAAAGGGAAAAGGGATACTACAACAATGCCCAGAGCACCAAAGCATCTTATACCAACAGAAGTTGATTAATAAAGCCCTTCATTCACAGTTCAAATATTAAGTGCAAAGTTTATGGTGCCAACTAAGGTTGACTCCAATTGTTGCTTACTTGCGTAACTATTGTCATGGACAAAATAAATTTTGGGGGGGGGGGGGAAGGCAAGAGTCCACCTTTGGTCCTCTAACTTTATATAATGTTTTAGTTTGGGCCCTTAATTTTTTTCCCCTAACCCTGACACCATTACCCTAAAATGATGATTCTCGTGCCAATCATTATTATTTTTGAAAATTAAACTTAATATGTAGCATTTAAGAATGTATTATCAACATTTAAAATCTCAATGCCAGCATTTTTTTGTTAAAAGCGCTAGGATTAAAGGGCTGAAAAAACATTTTATAAAATTAAGGCACCAAAATGAAACTTTGTGTGAAGTTAAAGAACTATGGATGCACTTTTGCCAAAAAAAAAAAAATCCCCAAAAGATTCAAACGAAGAGAACCAGCTTCAGTTATCAAAAGCTAACAGAAAATTGATTTGGATATATAAAGACCAAGTACAAATTATCCTAATCCTAATATATTAAATAAAGAACAATAAGTTTAATGAACAGAAACTTACTGTAGATTCCAGTATCGAAAAAAGTGAATCATTATCCAGGACCAAATCATGTTGGTCAAGGTAAAGATCTAGAAGGTTTGGCAAGTTATATTGTGCACAGTGATGTACAATCACTTTATGCAAAGCCTGAAGTGTTCCATCTTTGTCTGATGAAGTTTCCAAACAATCGTCCTCCAAGGTCCTCTTATCTCTGCCAGATATGAAGCCTGAACGAGCCAAAAGAGATACCATCTCCATTGTTCCTTCCCAATATTCCTTCAGGAAGATAAATCTTTCAGCAAGCTTCTCCTGCATGAGCATCCTCAACCACACAGAACACATATTGGGTGAAATTTTATATATTTGGACATCTGAAACTTCCATGCATACAGAATCCAATTCTTCAAGAGAGCATAAGAAACTTCCATAGTTAGGAGGCTTCACATTAAATCCTGAAGATGAGGTAGGATGTAAAGCATCCAAATTGAGTTGAAGGCTCCCAGCAGATAGAACAGATGCAGGCATCATGCCAAGCAATCTAGAGACTTCCTTCCAATTATCACGGCAGGCATGGTATTCAAGCTGCGATTCCCACAGCACAGATATGTCCGAAGAAAAAGATTGGCCCAATATCATCTGCAAAAGAGATATATGGATAACAAAAGTGGACTCCTCATACTTTTTTTGTTTTTTTGGGGGGGGGGGGGGGAAGACATCTGTCTCTAGAAGGATATACAATCCACTGAATAGATATCTAATTCAGCTTGAAAAATGATTTGAAGTTGAAATAAAAAAAGCTTGGGCATCCACAAATAAATCCTACACAGATACAAGTAGAGTGTTCAAATATAAAGAAACGAACAGAGATCAGAGGACTTCAGCATTAAGAAAGCATATCAAATGCAAATTTCTAAAAAGGCACAAGTATGTTGATCCCTGAACATTCAGCAGAACTTGTACATTAAAATTCATTTAAAAAAAAAAAAACTTGTACATCATAAGAGACCCAACGTCTAGGAACTCTTACTAGTACCACCAGTTTCTTCTTTTCTTTCTTCGTAAGAGATCCAACATCTAGGAACTCTGTTCTGTGAGTATTCTAGACCGGACTAGGTATCAGCTCTCAATTCGGTCTAGTCCAAGTTTCATAACATTGACACAAACACTCATACACACAAGGAGGAAAGAAAGAGACAGAAGCAACTTACACGATCAACAGTTTTTTGATCCCAGGCATCAAACCAGACAGCAGCAGCAGCCCAATACCCAACATGAGCATCATCTTCATCAACGTCCAGAGTAGAGGAAGTTCCACTCATTTTTATCCATGAATCCGAGACAATTCCGTCTATCTCACCACACTCAATTATAAAGTTGTCATGTACATGCAGGAGGAATAATCCATTTTCTACTGGCAAAACAGAGTTTGATGGAACACTGGTTTCATTCTGCCGGCAATGATATGTTTTCCAGAAGCTACTGCTGGGATAGAGACTCTTCTCAGACATGCACAGAGAAGCAAGCTTACACGTCTTAGCTCAAGAAAATTCCTCTGGCAAGGACTTAAAACACACCATATTTGACCAATAAATAAGACAAGTGAATTCAACATACCTCAACGAGTGACATCTCTTCTAAAATCTTCCACTCATACGGTCCTAAATAACCATATCTTTTCATTTCCTCAGCAACCTGGGCTCGAAGAGATCTACTTACTGTGCCAAACAACAGTTGCTTGAGACAGGATTCAATGTTCTCTCCAAGTCTTTGGAGTGTTGCAACAGCGAGTTCAATTTCACCCTGTTTTATCACATGATTGTGTTTTGAAGAAAATTATTTCCTAAATCCTCTAATAAGTCATTTTTATTTTAATGTGACAAATAAGCCAGTAGGTATGGTACATTACCTTCAAAAATAATTCATAAGCAATAGCTCTGCCAATTTCATGAACTTCAGTAAAAGTATCATGAGGATCTTTGTCAGTGACCAAATCTTCTGAACGATGAAGATGCAATTGAAGAACCGCCAAAGGAAGACGGCCAGAGAGTAGAGCATCTTTAACCACAGTCTTAAGGTCTAAATTATCAATCTTCCAACGAGCCATCATATCTTTTGGATTTTCCACCGGCAGAATCTTCTTTTCTGTGATTTCTTGTAAAGGAACAAAAGGAGATGCTTCGCTAAATTCTTCCATGACCGTATGTGACTTAAAATCCACAGGCATTGAAGTAAGATTCTCAGCATCATCACTGCCTGATGCAGGAAGCGGAAAAGAACGTTCATGTTGGTTCAATAAATCCAATGTCATCGAACCTGATGGAAGAAACAAAAGTGGAGATTCCTCCTGCAACATGTCTCCACTCATTGAAGGTGATTTATCCCCACTATCAACCTGTTTTAGCAATAACTGTCAGGAAGGATTCAAGAAACACAATCACACAAACAATGGAAACAAGACATGTACTAATCCAATAAGCAGAACTGTGAAGCATCATACCAATCCTTGATTGGCCCTTTGAAATTTTGACCTAAGTCTACGTTGCAGATTTCGGATTATCTCCAAGAAATGAGCCATCTCACGAAGTTTTCGAGCAAAATCCACTTCAGTCTGCAGATTATCTGGCTCAATAGGGGGAAGAGAAAGTAATCCAGACTGGTTAAACCCCTCCATCATGAATGAATCTCTCTTATGTTGCAGCAGCCCATATTTACGCAGCATCTTGGTTGCAAAGCAAGAAGCCAGCGCAAGCAGCCTAAAGATGTTAACCACATAAATGTCTTATAATAATCCAGATCTAACAGGAAAAAAAATTATTAAGCATGCTATCCATAGCTTGTGTCATAAGGAACGATTTTTCTTCTCTCTCTTTCATGGTTATTGCTGATGACATAAGCAAAAGGCACAAGGAGTCCAATAAACCAATAAAGAACCATTTAAGTGGTTGAGTAAATAGCAAGCTGATATAATCTCATCACCAAAAATCATAAATGTTATACAAAATCACTGAGAATCACATAGGAGCTTTTATTTCCTCTCTTGACATGCATGAGTTGAATAGCTAGGGACATGAGTGGACAGTGTACACCAGTTACAAACATATCATCATCCAATTGCATCAGTTTATAAACATCTGGAATTGAAACAAATTCATGCTAGAGATGACTACAGTTAAAAGTTCATTTAACAAATACACACAAACTACACAATATCTTTCATGAAAAGATATGCATGTTTGCCTTAAACTTTGAAATCAACCAGTGTTCAAGCAGGACATATATGATCCAATGATGCTCGCATAGAATATTTACATATCAACAATAATAAAATCGAAATTGACAAGTAAGAATTCCCATTTTGACGTCAAATAGAAGTAACTGAGGGCCATTTTAGAAAGGGGCTCAATCAACACTCAAAAGTGAGCTTGGTTAACCATTGGATAGAATTTAAGATTTTCCGACTTCAGTATGCTCATCCATGCCAGCATAAAAACAAAGTCACTTGATTTAACCAGTTTTTTTTTTTTTTTTTTGCTTTTTTTTTTTTGGGTGACAAACCATCTGATATCCAATCCTACGAACTAATCTGAATTTGAGTCAAGTCAATCCCCGATTGGGGAGTAAGCTCTCCCAATGTGGTTTCTTCTATCAACATTCGAACTCCAGACATTGCTTGGGGAGTTAAAAAACAGTTTTTAATTACTCAATTGTAATAAAACATCAGGCAATTTAATGTTACGTGCCTTTTTAAGGAATTTGAAGTAGTTAATTTTAATGATGAACAAAAAGAATAAATAAATAGACTCAGAAAGAACTATGGCTGCCACAAGTGCACAATCAGGAGCGTTATTCATCCCATTTACATGTAGTCATCTACTGTTGTTACTGATCATTAAAGTAGTATATTAATTTCAACAGTTCTTCCCATTGTAGATTCCAAAATAAGAGCAACTATCTACTAAATTCTTGCACTGAAAAGTACTCTGGAAAATTTTCTAAGTTCTTCAAAAGCAAAAAAATAAGTAATAACAACAACAACATAGCTAGCCAAATAAGCAAGCCAGAAGCTAAATCCTAGTGGTACAAGACTCTTTTACACAAGAAAGGCGTCATAGAAGAAAATATTTTCAGCATTCAACCAAATCCATTTCCCCTTTATATGTGCGGGTAAGCACATATGCTTCCGCATGCAGGTATGAGTGGGGCATAATTTTCTCCTCCAAGTAGTGGGTATCATGTTTATAATTTTCTTCCAAAATGCTCAAGAACTCAAAATACAACAAAGAGACAGAATGAAAGAATAGGTCTACCTAGAAGCAGCAGAAGTTTCACTATCATTGCCACTTTTGTTAAGCATAAGATGAACAGCAGCAAAAAGCAACCTCACAATGCCTTCATCCGCGATATTCACATCCGCAAGCATTTCCAGAGATCTGTTAAAAGGTAAAACTGGAAAGTGAATTTCATTAGATAATATTTGCCATAAAAAACACAAATACTTTAAAAACCTCAACATAATCCATCTCATATAAAAGTAGCAATTAACCAATGTAATCCATCTCAGACAATCGCAAATTTGCTCCAATCCTCAAGAATCAATACACAGAACAAACATACAAAACACCCTGCATTCATCAATGTATAATAATCTCAAATAAGATCAACACAACTATTCAGTATTAGAAGATAAGTCTTGCGATGAGGATGGTGTTTCCTTTAAGTAATGACAAAATATTAAGTAGATATATCTCCTCATAAGAATACAAAACCTTCTCTGACATATTCCCCTCAAGATACCATGAGCAACAACCCTCAAACGTCAGTGCAAGATTCATTCAATTAAAAGACTGCCATTTCATTGAGCATGAAATATAAGTCGAGCATGCAATAGCCAAATTTGAGCTTACCTCTCTATCTCATCAAATTTCAAGTAGTCCAATGCTATTTGTAATTGACGGATGCGAGCAATTTTTATGTCCCATCCTGACCAAAGCAATAAATAAATCAAGTTTGCACCTCAAATATGATCTTAAGAGATCCAAAAGTAGCATGGCAATCATTCCATTCCATATCAAGAGGAATCATATGACTGCACAACTAAACGGAAAACCTATGTATATTTCCATCATGAAGACAATAAAAGGTAAACAACTAAAAGCAGCAGTTTAGGAAAATGGAATAGCTGCGGTCCGAGTGAGAATGATGACAAAAAATCATGCATGCTACATCCCACTAATTCACATTGGTCTATGACTTCCTAACACACCAAAAATCAAGTTGAGAGATTGATAAAAGCTTTTGGCAGGAAAAGAAAATGTAGCATATCACAGCTGAGAAAAAGAGAAAATTTTAGAGCACTTTAAAAAAAAAAAAAAAGGATTTTTTGCCATGCAAAGGGGGAATTTGTTGATAATAAAGAAATAATAATAAAAGAAAAAATTAAGGCAACAATGCACACCCCCCTCAACACACACACACCCCCCAACTTTGCAGGAACTAGCAGGTTATACTGATATTTGGCATGTTTGGTATGAGAAAACAATTGTGATTTCAAGAATACTTCATTATTCATAGATCTTTCATGGGATAAGACTGCTTTTTTCACCTTTACTTTGGTCAAGGGAGATATTTTATCAAATATACAAAGAGGGATAAAAAAAATTCTATGTTAATGGACTCATTACTTTTTCCGTTAATACCAGTTATTTTGGGGTTTCCTGTTAATACCAGTTATTTTGGGGCTTTTCTTAGGGTGTATGTCTTATCCTCCTCATTGTTATATATCTATTAGAGGAAAACCTAATACTCCCTCTGGTCCTTTTCATAAGAGACAAACAACTACTCACGGATCAAGAAATGTAGTTAAAATTAGTTGGATTAATAAATATGCTTCAAATGTATACTTATTTCCTGAAATACCACCATTTCATAATTGGCTAGTGGCTTTCAATAATTAATCTCACTAATAATACTAATTTTTAATAAGGGTAAAAAAGGAAAATTTGAACAAATATTCCAGACAAGATATTGTTTCTTATAAATAGGACCAAGAGAACCCTCCAAAAATTCTCTTATGAAAAGGATCAGGGGGATTGCTACATTATCAAAAACATAGAAACAAGTGAAATGAGCAATTATATCCCATAACAAGCAAGTGATGCTATAAAAGTTATCATGTGAAATTGCACATTGGTGGCTTTCAAATGATACTGCATCTTGGAAACACCTACCATTTTCCAAACACAATCGATCTGCCTCTTCAGTGCTTTCATACAGAAGAACTCTGTCCAAAATTTCAATTTTCCAAGGACAACACCTAATTATCGGTTCATTCATTTCCACATTGCCCTTTACTGGACATGAAATCCATGGATTCCTATTTGATTCGTGATAACCGATGCATCCAAAAGGAAGAAAATTTGATGACAATGAAAGGGACGGAAGATACACAGACAGACCATCTTCTCTAACAATATAAAAACAGCCTTGGAATGCACAACCAAGTGCTTCTCCAATAACTATCTCTTCCTGCCCATTGAGTTGGTACAAATCACATCCACTATTTAAGTAGTTATCGTCATAAACGCTTGGTTTCACTAGCAGGTTAAAATGAGCAAGCCGAGAAGACTTTTTACTCTTCACATTCTGCTTTTTAGATAGACAAGTAATTCCCAAAGGAGAAAAACAAATAGAATAATCCTCGCTGGATCTGAAATTAGGAAGAAAGATCTTTCTCATAATACGTGACTCCACTTCAGAAGAACAGGGTTTTCCATCATCAGATACTTTAGAAGCAGCAGAAAAGCCACTTGAATACGAGTCATATAAGTCCCCCATTCCTTGAAAGGTGGAGTCATCAATATTTTGAAGAGCATTACTAACAGTTTTATTGCCATGACAACAGCTTGGGAAATTAGAGTTTTTCATTTGGTGACCTATATCAGAACCACAGACTCCCCAGTTAAGCAAAATTCCCAGTCC